TCAAGAATTGTGGTAACAAAGAAGACACTCACTAGGATGCAGACCAAGAAAAGCTCTACTTCTGCAGAAGAGACATCTTAGGGCAAACTGAAACATGCTAAGAACAACCTGGAGAAGGATTATACATACTTAAAGTGAATTTTTTGGTCAGATGAGATCACACTAGAGCTCAGAGACACTCTGTTTATGCTTGGAGAAAGAAGAATGCCATCCCCACAGTGAAGCACGGCGGTGGGAGTGCTGTGCTGTGGGGACGCTTCAATGTGTCTGGAACTGGGAAGGTGAAAGGAATCCTAAATAAGAAAGCTATGCGAAGATTTTGAAAAAAAAAACCTCAAGCATTCAGCAGCAAAACTGGGTCTGGGTTGCTGCTTGGTCTTCCAACACAACACCGATGTAAAACATACAGCGCTTCTGGTGTGGAACTACCTCCAGAAGACCAAAGTGAGCGTTACTGACTGGCCTGCACAAAGCCCTGACTTGCAGATCATTGGAAATCTATAGAATAAACTGAAGACCAAGGTCCATGCTCGCAGCCCATTAAATCTGAAGGAGCATGAGAGATTTGCTAAAGAACAATGGGCTGAGACTGCTCAGGAGACATGTGTGGGGCTTGCTGAAAACTCCAATTAATGACTGGAGACTGTTATCCAGCAGCATCCACGCAATTGAAAATTGGCGTCGGGAGGCTAATGATTTTAACCCTGGTAGTTTTTGTCAAATATTTTTATTTCTCTGTGCAAAGTCAAATAATATAAGCAGCCCAAGTAAAACTAGAATGTGCATGAATAATACTTCTGTCCTCATCTGTATTAGCCCAGTTTAGAGGTTTGGATTGTAAGTATTACTTAATTACTCAAAAAGATGTTAGTTTCTGATTATGGTTTGTATACCAAGGAATTCATTTCACTGAGTTATCCGTTCTTTTCTCTTCCTTCTTTTTTATTTTTTTTTTAAAGTGAGGATGAGGCAAAGCTCGGTGCTCGCAGGTTAGCACGCTGTCTGCAGAAACTAGGCTTCAAGGTAAGAATAATCACAGCAGCTGGTTTTGCATGGAAATACACAGTCAATCTGTTATTTGTTTAAACTCAGCCTACCTGAACATTGTCCCAACTATTAAGACCACAGAGTCCCCATCTTCTGATGGTTGTTAGTTACTAGCAGGGTAACGCACAGTGTCACAAAGCTCAAACTACCTGAAACTGCAGTTATCTACATTAAGGCCATAAGACCTAAACTGGATTTCTCCTTTAATTATTGGACCTAAAATAAAAAGAAGTGTAAACTCATAAATGCGTGTATTTTGTGTCTCATATGTTTATGCTGTCTGTTCAGGTGAGGTTTTCAGCCTTCAAAGTTGTGAATGTGCTGGCAGTGTGCTCCATGCCATTTGCAGTCAATCTTATAAACTTCACGAAGAATAACCGACCCATTGCCAGGTAATGCAGTGCTGCTAAGTCACAACTGTTGCAACATTAATTAAAATCAATGCCATCATTGTCATCGTCATTATAACTATCCTGATCAAGCTGTAGCATATGTTTATCCACAGTCTTATTGCTTTCTGCTGTTTTCTTTGGGTCGTTAGCTTCATGGTGTGATACCATATTGAAAGAAAATAGTGACAACTGTGATTTCAAGTCCTGACATGAGCAGCAATAATGTGCAAAGTGAACGGGGAATAAAAGTTGAATGTTTGCTAGTGGAGGATGACCTCTAGTGGTTAGAGTAAACCTCACCGCATTGAGTGCATGTACCTGACACTACAGTGGAGCAAGCAGGCTGAAGAAGTATGTGTGTGTGTGTACTCTAGTTGTTGGATTTGGATTACTGTTGTACATGCTATCTGACAGAATATAGGCTGGCATCTAAACATGCATCAAGTCCGTTACTCACAAAGCTGTAGGTATAACTTTGCCGATGTGCACACATGTACTAAAAACTTTTTACCGTTTACAGTTATGAACCTGAGCTCCACCCAGCTGCTACATACAGGATCAAAAATCTAAAGGCGACTATACAAGTGTTCTCAACTGGCAGCCTCACAGTTACAGGTATCTCACTCCTTACGAGGCTCAACACACACAGACACATTAAGTATCTTACACCTTTTTATGTACAGTTAAGAAGGCACATTGGCTTAAGGGATTGAGGTCATGTAAAATGAAAGCATTTTATAACTTGTTTCAATGAGGAAAGCGGTTTGTAAATAACCCAATTCCTCCAAGAATTTTACTCAAGCGAAATTGTTTTTTGTGCTTCCTTTCGTGTGGTGCACTGTTTGTCAGGCTAAAGTTGAAACCCAAGGCGGTCTTTTTTTTTTTTTTTTTCTTAAAGCTTCTATTCCAGTTCTGTTGTTTTTTCTTTGTCCTGATATATTTTTGCTGATCTTTTTCTGCTTTCACACCATCACTGGATGGCTTAGGACCAAATGTCCAGAACGTGGCCACAGCAGTGGAGCAAGTCTACCCGCTACTGTTTGAGTGTCAGAAACCCCGCTGCAAATGAAACGATACAAGACTAAGGACTCGAGCTATTGAGTACTCAAAACGGACGAAGAAGCACCTTATCCTTGGAATTGCTTGCTTTGGTTTCATCACTATGTGGCAACAGCCACAAACGTCTGAACTCATTCATAGGCTGGGCTTGGAATACCACACTTGTAACGTCCTAAAATGTCCTCGTTATTTTTTACAAAATTTTAACGTTGTTGTGGTTTTAACAGCCTAAACCTGCAAATGTCTTCCAAACTTAATATCCTTCAGCAGGCACCCGTCCTCCTCACCTGACAGTGAAGAGGCAGGAAGCTATTTGCTGTAGCTTATTTGCTTTTGGATGTCTCTGCATGGACAGTTAAAGACCATTTTGAAACTATTTAAGATTTGGCTATAGATATCTATATATGGCTATCTATATATGGCTATCTATATATATATATATATATAAAAAACCAAAAACCGCCGTCCAAGGTTTGTAAAAGTCCTGCACAGGTACTCTGTATTACCCGTGTTATTGCTAAAGGACAAAAACTGCAGACAGAGAAGTGGAATATTATCAGTGTACACAATGTAAGAGCAGGCCGATATGCAGAAACACATCCACTTACAACTTAAACACACCTCAAATTTACTTCCTTTTGTTCAAAATAAGGCACATTTCATTTCTTGTTGTTTCTTAATAGTTTTAAGAACATTTTGCAAATATGCTTGATGTATTTTAATGTTTTGACATGTTGAACACTTCTCAAAGGTTAAGAATATTTTCAGTTTTCAAGTGACGAGTTAAGCTGTTCATTGAACACAACCACTTGTTAGACAATATTGAGGAGATTTTTTTTATTAGCAGAGGACTAAGAAATCATTAAAACACTGTCCACAATTGCCAGTATACACACACACAAAGTAGCAAAAACATAACATGAAAAAGTAACTGACTCATAATTACAAAAGCAGCCACTCTGTGGAGTCGTACAAAGTTGTATGGCAGCACTAACACTTGTCGAAAAGGTTTCGTAATACATTCATGTGAATTCTTGAGGCAACCATGAGTGTTCGGACAGGCATAAAGGCAACATGTATGTATGTATGTATATAAATGCATCTGATAGAAAAAATGTTGATTAAAAGCTTAGACATGCTGTTTAAATGTGTGTATGATGGAGTACTTTTTGAACTAGTGTCAACTGAAAAATTGTGGCACTTGGATTTTTGTATTTTGTATAAAAAAAAAATAAAAGTGAACAGGCAACCAGTGGACTACTGTGTGGTGCGTTTGCTCCCCTTTGCATGACATTGTTTTTGTGTGTGTGAACATATCCCGAGTACATGTGGAGAAGGCACTTCCCAGTTGATTTGTTTTTTTGTTTTTTGTTTTCCCTAGAATGTCTTCCATACTGTCATTAACGACTGAGATTTCCATGTCAGGCTTTGCAAACGCACATTGCAACATTTAAAAGGTGATGTAAGTCAAAGTACAGGTTATAAAATGTAAATGTTTTACTCGTGCATAGGGCATCCGCTATAGAATTTGTATTCTTAAACTCATTACAGCATCGTACTAATAGAAAATAAAAGAAGGAATCGGTCTAAATCACAATTCATGCCAAACATGGCTCCTGAACCTCGTGATTTGCTTTTTTTCGCCGATTCTTTTTAAACATTCAGTAGCCGGTCTTACACAGCTAGCTGCGTGTTCCCATAAAATGCAAATGAGGAGACAAACAATTCCTTCCATATTTCATGTGGGTTTTGAACACACATCCACTAACATAACTGGTATGACTGGTTTGGCCCTTGTGTACCACGTTAAATATGACAATGGGCACCAATAAAATGACACTGTGCTTAGGAATAAGCTTGCCCTCCTCCAAAGAACAAGTAGCAGTTTGGGCTGTTAGTTTGATTTTAGTTAATATAATGCCAGATTTGCTAGATGAATTTTTTTTTTACTCAAAACGGAGAAAAAAATGTAAAAACTGATGGAAATCTGAGAAAAAGATTTTCTTTTTCTTGAATATAACAATTAATACTAGAACCTAATACTAGCTATGCTCATTTAAAAAAAATCAAAGGCTCCATGATGGGATCACATGTGGCCATCATCATCATCAAGAAGCAGCTGTAAGTACAGCCAATATAGCGACGTAGATGAGATGATTGTTGCTGAACTGCAGAGCTCCTTCAGTGACAGACTGCTGCATCCTAGATGCATGAAGGAGCGTTTCCGCAGGTCCTTCCTCCCTGCAGCTGTCAGACTGTACAATCAGAACTGCTCCCAACAAACATAGATGTTTACATCTGCGCTGTAACTGCAATAAGTTAATTAACCGATTCGCACTACAACCTGGTTTGCCTCTTACCTGTAGTTATTTTTATTTAATTTAATAACTGTACAGTACTCTGTTTATAACAACCATTGTCCTTAATGTAAATATGTAAGAAAAATTGTGTATGTTTCTGTTCCGTGTCCTGTGTACTGTTTGTTTGTATATGTGTCTTTTTGGCTGCTGTTACAACCAAATTTCCCCTTGTGGGACAATTAAAGGATTATTCTAGATATATGGATATTTTTGATTGTATATTGTCTTGATCGTTGCTCTTGACTCTCAGGACAGTTGTTGTGTAGGTTTGCTGTCCCTGATCAGGCTCTCTTGAGGCTGAACCGGCCTGGAAATTCTCACCTTAAAAGTCTTCCTGTTAAACAGGGAGTGGAGAAACAGAAGGTAAAAATCACTTTCACAAACCAGTTTACTAGATGTTGATGGCATAGACGTCGAATGTTCAAATTCAAATTCACACATACACTGTCATACACAGTACGATATGCAGTGAAATGCTTAGACTGCTCGTGACCTAAAGAAAAAAAGACTGAATAGGATAGGAAATAAATATGAAAATTAAAATGAAGGGTAAAGGGTAAATTTAGCTAGGAAGTATTACCACTCACTTCTTAGCTAGCTCTTTTGAGATCTCCTCCAGTGTGCGACCTTTGGTGTCAGGGACAAAGAGGACGACGAATACCAGCAGAACAAAGCTCATGGTGGAGTACAGGAACATAACATTGGGCACACCGATGTTTTCTTTAAAAAACAAAAAACGAAACAATTAATATAATGCAATACCATACTTGCTGCATAAGCAACCCCGTTTCCCAAAAAATTGAGACATTATGTAAAAAAATGAAATAAGAAATGATTTGCAAATCATCCAAATTTAATTTAAAAAGTCCAAATGTTGATACTGATGAATTTTATACGCATGTTCATTTTCCTTCAATAGACCAACAACACGTCCAAGCTATATACCACTATCTTACTATGAAACCTGGGATAACAATTAAGTTCCATGATTGCCCACAATGTTCAGGCAGCAGCGTATTAAAAGCAAAAACTGAAATTTGCACCATGAGTTCAGGAATTTGTAAGATCATATGAGTGCACTACAATATATGACATGCATAACTTGCACATCTTTGAATGGATTATAGCTGAGCAATGTATACAAGGACATCAGATGTTGCCATCTGGTCAACATCTACTTCAAGGAAGTTCTTGCTTATTTCAGCAAGCCATTGCCAAACCACGCTTAAACAAAAATCTTCGAACAGTATAGCGCAGTAACTCAGCTGATTAAGCAAAAATGTTTGACTGTTTGTGTTACCATAGCAACACTACTTGTCACACACTAAATAGCGCTACTACACCTCTGAGTGTTCCCTTTTTTTAATTAAATATTTACCTGTCAGACTTACAGACTGACTTACGTAAGGAGACAAAAGGTCCCTAATTTGCATGTTGCAGCAGTAATTCTACAGTTTGGAACTTGCCATTTAGCATGAATGGTAGGACTGCTTTGAGCTTTGTTTGTGTAGCCACCCTACATATGACAGGGAGCAGTATTTAAATGCTATGCTTACTTAAAAAAGACAATGTCAACACATACACATACCGCATTGTTACAATAGTATGACTAAAAAGTAAAAGAGTCCAGGAACTAAACTGGCTTCTTTCTTGCAGTCCAGACTTGTCAATCATAAAAAATACACACAAACATTTGGCATTTTAGGAAACCAGAGCAACAGGTCTGCAATTGCTTTGAACTTTTCTCATTTTTGACATTTGGGCAACACAGCGATGCACTGGTAACGCTCATAGTAAGGTTTCTTATTTAAAAACCTCTGGACGCTTCTGTTTCTTTCCACAAGGTTAACGATTTAAAGTCAAATTAGTCACAAGTATGAATATAAAAGTCTGGGTTTGTCTGTTTTCTGACATAATGAGAATTTGTCTAGGGTTTACCCTGTCTCTTTCTGTATGACGACTATGTATTTTAATTTTTACATGTTACTAATAAAGTAACATTTAAAATATAGCTGCATAACCTAGTTTAGGTTCACTATATAGGCAAATGTTTGGCAAACAATGCCAACCAGGTGCTAAAATAAAGAGATGCCAAAATGTGAACACTGACTAATTGGGTTAGGTGTGGTCTTGGGCTTGATCTTGGCAGTTCTGTTGGAGGATAGTAAAATTGTAAAAATGTGTTTTTTAATATGATTATCACTTATCAAACAGAAACTCTGTGTTAAATTATACAGAGTTTCTGTGAATTCTTGCACTAGTTTAAACATGTCTGGTGCAAATACATGTCAGTGTAGGCTCTCAGTCGTTCAGGCCATGGTAGTCTAAGGAGCTTGGAAAAGAAAGCGATTCGACTTTAAGTTCAAGTCTTTAAGTTTCTTAAAGATGTTTCACTTCTCATCCAAGAAACTTGTTCAGTTCTAAAACCAAATGGTTGAGAGTCCCAGGTATTTAAACCCAGCTGGAAATTTCTGTTGGGTTTGTTGATTGATCATGTGTCTCACCACATGAGGAAAGGTATGAAAAAAGGCGTGGCTCATTATCACCAGAGGTTGTAGGTGAAACCATTGTGAGACCCAATGAGATCACCTGATGTAAGATGTGAGTGGGGGTTGAGGCACCAGGGAAAGGATCTCAATGCGGCATTGTAGGTGGCAGAGAGTTGGTGTCGTGTAAGTATAGCTGCTGTAAGTATAGCACATACCACAACTAGCTAGAACCTACAATTTATAAATTATAAGTAATAAAGTACTCACCCGTGATGGTGAGGAAGGTCATGGAGATCAGCAGATTTGTGGCCCAGTTTACAGCTGACACCACCGACACAGCTCTACCTCTGACTCCCATCGGAAAGATCTCACTGAGAACGACGTACACCACTAAAAAGAGATAAAGGACAAAAAAAAGAGATAAAGGACAAAAAAAAGAGGGGTATAAGAAATTCAGTCTAACTCGTTTTATTTATATAGCACTACAAGGATTAACACTGGGAAGGAATGCCCTGCTGCTGGATGCCAAAAAATGTAAGTGTAGCAAAAATGCTCACACATGGAAGACTGTGTATAACCATTCCCTTAACCATTTAAGGTTAATGAGAGTTAATGAACTCTCACTGTCTTACCATAAGCTGACTATATTTGCTTTCCATCTCAGATTTTTGAAACCAGATGTCATAATCATTCATTAATTCAAACTTTAATAAGAGGAAAAACTTGACTTGAGCCCAGGAAAGTGTTTTTACCAATGCCGAAAACATTGGATTAACTTTCCATACACTTCTAAATAACAAGAAGTGGTTTTTGCAACCACGGAAGTCGTCCATTAGAAAAAATGCAGGTTTGAAGCAAATGAGTTAGCTTCACTTTTCAGACTCAGAAGCAATGTCCATCTTATATATCCAGTCTCTAGATAAATACAGAGACACTGCATGTGTATGTGAACCATAATGTACGGGTACTTACTTGGTCCAAGACTAATTGAGAAGGCTGCCACATACACCAGCAGGCTGATCAATGACGCCCACTTCAGTGAGGAAGACACTTCAACAAGAGTCCTTCTTCCTACTGATTCCCACACTGCATCATTCTCTGTTTTGAGCCCCTGCACCTGTTCAGTGTTCCACTGGTTTTCCAGGTGGGTAGACAAAGTGCCACTATTCTCAAAGTCTGTGAAGGTTTCGTTTAAATCCCATGGCATATGCGTGTTGTTTAGAGGGCTTTGGCTATTGCACAGGCTTGTGAGGTGAGTGTGACTTTGTAGAGTCAATGTACCAAGGGCAGCCAGCGACAATCCCATAGCGACAGCACCCACACACAAAAAGCTCTTGGGTCCCAATCGGTCGACCAGCAACACGGCAGGGATGGTACCAACTACTTTTACGACTCCGAACCCCGTGGAGGCCAGGGTTGCTGCAGCATCACTGTTGAAGCCAACGCTGCGGAGAAGTGGCGAAGCATAGGAAAGGATGTTGGGCTGTCCAGTAGCCTGCTGGAGGAAGACTAAGGCCACACCTATTAGGAGCCGTGAACGCAGATTAGCTTTGGCACTGAAAAGCTCCAAGAAGCTATGCTCTGATTCTTCTTTCAGTCCAACCTGGATATCCCTGAGCTCCACTTCCACACGCTCCTTACTTACGCATCTCATTCTGGCCAACACTTTCTTCGCCCGCTCCACTTTGCCCTGAGCAACGAGGAAGCGTGGACTGGGTGGGAGGAATATGAGCGCACCTATTTGCAGGAGTGCTGGAGGAATTACTAGTCCAAATGTATAGACCCAGCCATGAGGTACGGTAGCAAAGGCGTAACTACAGCCGAATCCCAGCATTACACCAACAACCAACATCAACTCGTACAGCGTCACCAGGAGACCCCTCCTCTCCCTCGGTGAGATCTCTGCAATGTACAAACAAGCTGCTGTCCCTGAAAGAGATGTTCCCATGCCCACAATTACACGGCCAAGTGTCAGTGCAACAAAAGAAGCCACAGCGATGAGCACAACGGTGCCGCCAACTACTAGAACAGCACTCAGGAGCAAAGAGCAGCGTCGGCCGTAGCGATCTAAAAATGTTCCTCCGGCCAGGCAGACGAGGAGTGCACCGAGCAGGTGGGAGCTGACCAGCAGTTCCTGTTCCCTGCAGGAGAGAGAGAGGAGGCCCCGCAGCTGCAGCAGGACCCCAGAAGTCAGCCCCATTTCGTAGCCCAACATCAGGCCGCTCAGAGAGGCCGCTATGGCTGCAACCACCACCAGCCAGCTGCAGCCTGCAGAAAGGGACAGAAATACAGAGAACACAGTGAAAGAATGTATCTTAAGATGATAGCTATACTGAATTAAGCGCCAAGTGCAAGTTTCCAATCTCCTAGCTTCACTTTTCGTCCCAAAAAAACAAGACCAAGATTGTAGGTTAACCCAGCAAGTGGGCCTAGTTTTATTGTGTTGTGTTTTTCGAACATTATCAGTAATACAGAGAAATACAGAGAAAGGGTTGTGGGCTACATAAGGTAAGAGGTGCATCTAGAGCAGGGGTGTCAAACTCAAATACACAGTGGGCCAAAATTCAAAACTGGAACAAAGTCGCGGGCTAACATTAATATTTATTGAAATATATTTATTCCTCCAGATATAAGAATGAATCTTTCCTTATGGACTCAAACACGTTTTGCTGAAAAACTAAATATGGAACAAGCAAAGCTTAATACTAAACAATATATATATATTAGCTGTATAATACCAGTAGGCCAGCTCTAATAGTAATTTTGTATGGCTTCGTGGGCCAAATGTAAGTAGGCTGCGGGCCAAACTTGGCCCGCGGGCCAGAGTTTGACACCTATGGTATAGAGTATCCTGGTCCTCTTGTCCCACATTCTGTGACAAAGTTCCACATTTGGACTGGCTCAAGACAATGCCGCTCAACAGGGAAAATGGCATGTAAGAATGAAGTCACAATATGTGTCAATAATGCCTTTTTTGGCCTTAGTAACGTGTCCCGACATCATCCCTGTTCATTCTAGGTGGGATCCATGACAAGGCTAACAGTCATTTACACTCATACCTACAGTCAGTTTAGAAATAAATCAGCTAAACTAACACACATCCCTTTGGAGTTTCAACATACAAAGCCAGATGTTTCCTGCACAGGTGCTAATCACTGCACCCCCATGCCATCGCCAGAAACAGCCATTTAGTCTAGAATGGAGGAACAGGTTGAACCTTATTTGATTGGCCACAAAACGGACTCTGCCCCAGGTAAAATGCTTTTACAACATGTTACCCAATTCCTAAAACAGCTTCCAGAACACATGTATCTGCCTGTAAACCGGATAAGATTAAAAGTTTTTATATAGCATTTGACTACCTCAAAAGATTAAAAACTCACTTAAGGTGATCTGATACCATCGAATGTTTTCTTATGCAAGGACACAGTGCTGTGGCTTCATTTATTAAAGTTACAGTGTGTAAAATCTTACCACTAGATGTCTGTAGACTGTAGACTGCAATCAACTGAACTGTTTTCCTATCCCTCCCAATTCAAGTCCACCATCCTAGCTATGGTGGCCACAATAGAACAAATGTCTCTGATTGCTGTTCAGTTGTAGTGAGTGTGAATGTAACAGTGTTGGATTCGGACACTTAGCAAATAAACTCTCATACGATGTGTGAATGTAATCAAACTGTTTGCCAGAGGGACCGTGAGATACTAATGCTAATAACCAGCAGTTGACGGGGGTGTAGTCGTGTTAGGCTGTCCTGCCAAAACACAATTAGAAGGGACGACCACTTTATTCAGTGTGGTGGAATGACATGGCTACTTCCACAAATTGTTTCTGTGTATTTTTAATGTATTAATTCTAAGTTTTTGCAAATGTATCAATTCATAATTTATACAAAATTAGGATATATAATTATAAACTTACCTATAAATCTTAGTGAGTACAATATTATTTTTTTCGATTAAACAGATTAACCTCTGTATCTTTAACAAAGGCTCATGAGAATTTTATGTATACTTGATAATATCCCTTAAGCAGCTACAAGCAACCGCTGGTCCTTTTTATTTGGTGGTTATGGCCTGTTGCAAAGACTAGTAGGAAATATTAACATGTTGAACTAGTATGTCCTAGACATGTTTGATCTGAAAAAGGTTTACTTGCAAACTAATAAATAGTTAAACATTTAGATTTAAAAAAATAACTGTATTCGAGAATGGATGCCATCTTCTTAACACTGCTTTGTTGTGCCTCACATTTAAACAGTAATACAAACAACCTGTATGGATCAGAATCAGAGTGTTGTAATATGTTCTTGTTTATAACTTGTCAAGCTCATATGCAGGATTAAGAACTTGGTAAACAGAGTGTGGAGGGGCAGTAGATGATATTGCGTAAGCTAATGCGGTACTGTGTCCATTCACCTTCCACAACAAAAAAACTCTTAAGTAACAAATATTCAGTCAAGTCAGGGTTTACGAAGAGTCCTCAGAAGGTTCACCCGACCATGAAGTCAGTTTATTAGTGCTGACTGTGTGGAATTAGTGGTCAAGGATCAGAAGAAGAATGAAGCAATCTGGTAAGGCTGTGTGTTTGTGAACATGTGCTAGGAGTGCTTCACGTTGACTAATAGATTATGGTTACAGATGAAAGGGGAAGAAGATGACTTTAGCATTATCTTACATAATGCATCATTAGTTATATTACATTAGGTGATAATATCCCTGCACCTGTTATTAACTGTACTTTCTAAAGCCATAAACACAAATGTGTATCTAACGACCACACTAGTGAGAGCTTTTATTAGATATGATTACATATGATTTTATTACACACGATTCAAGGAAAGCTAACACAGCTGCAAACTATTAAATGCTACGAAGTTTGCTTTGACAGTTCAGCTGCAACCCCAGCACTCAGCCTCATATCAGTCATTTCCATTAAATGGTTGTCTAATAATAGGATTTTATGTCATTTGTTAGCATGTCACAGCCTGTGATACCTTAACTCAAAATTCACACTGGCGCACTTGCTAATACTGTTCTAGAGAACAACCCCACTTTTTTTTTATTTGAAACAAGGAATTGTTTATTTCCAACCATGTGCTAGCCTACCTTAGACGCACAAACACACGTTTACTGTGGCTGGAGGGTCCACCACTGGGAAATGTTTTTTGGCCTACCGTGACCTGTTAGCTGTCCTTATCTGACTACCAATGAAGTCCATGTACAGCAGAGCCAGTGCAGTGAAAGCAAAGTGTTTGCTTCTGCATCCAGGTCAAGTGTAAGCCTGGCAGTACCACACTTCAGTATCTGATTATCATAAAATGCACTCTTTCCAACATGTAGTGAAGGCAAATAGCAAGGTGACTGATGTTTTTCCAAACAGTGGGTGGGCATTATGTGAAGAATTTGTGTCACATTTTTGGCACATAAATACATCGTGACTGAGACACAAGAAATCAGACATCAGCACCTTTTGGCTTAATCATAAATCACTGTTCGAGAAGCTCAGCTCCGTAATCCTGCAATTCATTAAACTATTCTAAGAAGCGGGTTTGTCAGGTTATCTGGATGCTGAGCTAAACCTAGCTCCTGATTGATGCAAATTATTACTTGGAGAATCACTATATCTCAGTTTAGTGACTTATATTTCTAGCGTGTAGTTTAGTCACATATGAAGCTGACTGGGTTATGTTTTTAACATTATGGATGGATACTTGTGAAGAGCCCGTGCAACGTTTTTGCTATTGTGCAACCAAGGTCAGCATGACCAGGACTCAAGCATAAAAAGCTGTCATAAACATGTTTTGGCTTAATCATAAATGAGTGTTTGAGCAACAGCTAATGTGAAGAAGTTGCTCATGCAGCAAATGCCTTTCTTTTGCTCCAGCTTAATAATCATAGGATTCATGTATCCATTCTAAGAAGCAGGTTTGCAGAGTTTTCCAGATGTTGAGCCAAATTATTACATCTCAGTTCCACATCTAGACAGTATTCCTTGAGCAATCATCTACATCTTCTTTCTCTAAGGGACAGCCAACACTGACTTTCACTATATGCATTCTTAGGGATTTAAGTGTTTAGCAATGTTCAGCAGAGAATCCCCCTTTTTTAAAACCCTATTTAGACTTTTAAATGACGTAAGATATAAGCTCTAAACAGAACATGCACATGCACACTTTTAAACCTGATAAAAGACAACATCAGTGGCTGTTCATACCTGGCTCTCTGGGTGAGGTCAGCTTTTGGTTCTCAGCTGAGGGTTTGCTTGGGAGGTAAGAGGTCATCCTCTTGGTTTCGCTGCTGGACTCCATCATTAACCGCCACTAACAATAGACCTACAAACAAGTACACACCAGCGTATTTAAACAAACAAATCATTGTGCAAAGGCAAGAAAAAATACAGCAGGTATTATTCATGTTGCACAAGGACAGATACATGAAATTCTAATTCACATCAACATCCCAGGCATCATTATAAAATATTTATTATACAGTAACATGAACAGATCCAGACAGAAAAACATAATTAATCATCAAACATGATCCCCAGTCACAGGTGAAGAATCAGCTGATGCCTCTTTGTGGCTCTGGCTGGGCGCACCCAGGTTTCCCTGTCATACAAACCAGCTGTGTGAAGCTCACCACGGACAGCTGCAGCTGGATCTGTAAGGGGCTGACGACTGTGTGGCATATAGTTGTTTAAAGCTGAAAGTGTTGCACGTGTTTTTTGAAAATCTCTGGAAATAGCTATAGAAACTGTGCTCTCTCCTTTACCTGTGACCAGATACTGCACTGTGATCAATGCTACTTCAATGTTGCAACAGATCACTGTTATAATTAGTGATACTACAGACAAAGTCCACGATCGCGTGTTTTTCCGCCTATATAATATACAAGAGTTGAGCTAAACCCTTGCAGTGCACTTCTGTAGAGGCTAGACAGCACTGAGTACCAGGAATCACAGACGTCTTTAGTGCAAAAGCCCACGGCGCTCAAATACGGGTGTGTTTATGTGCAAACAAACCGTTTTTGCTACCTAAAAGTTTCTTAGAGCACACATTTAGGTTGTAATGACAGCCGAGTGCAGTGACATTATTCCTACCTGGCGCCACAGGCTTTCTTTCTGCTGTTGGCCTACGCCCGAGTCTGTCGGTCCATTCGTTCTCGTGTCCACAGCTTCGCCGTCCACACTTCCAGAGTTCCCCGGACTCCTCTTTCGCTCGTGTTACTGCACGCTCTCGGCTTGTTTTTGCTCAAGTATTTGCATAACCCCGCACACTTATTCCCGCACTACCAATAGAAAACTCTCCTTAGCCTTGGACCTCCTATCGTGACCTCTTATTGGACCAAAGTGTATCTCCATGTGCCCCTCCTAATGAATAATGCACACCCGAGTTTCTGATCTTTCTTTGATATGACTTCCAGCTGTAATCACAGACAAATATGATGTAGTGATTTCAGCTGTGATTCCTAATATAAAGCAGGCTATAAAAAAATGCACCTGTATCAATAATGCTCAGTCACTCATAAAGGCACTGGATGCATGTGACAACAAGCAGTCCGGCCACCTGCTGTTTACTGAGTTTCCCATGCCCTTTTTCTTCGACTGCTTCAGTCACACCTGCCGCTCTTCACAGATGACAGAATGTGGCCTAACATGCCTGGGGAGCTCTGTTTGTGCTTGGCCTACTTTCACTGATATGTATTTAGATGGTCCGACCTATACGATCCAGTCTGACCTTTTTTTGAAACACATCATCTGATCCTCTTAGAAGTTTGCCAAAGGTGTGCACACATGCCTGCGCTCATAAGCTATGACAATATTTGAGTCAGCAAATACTGGACTTTTCATATCCTCTATTGAAAAGGGGGATATTTGTCATAAAGAATCTACCGTCTCATTTCCCGAGGTGCCTAATTTAACCAGTTATCTGATCATATAACCCCGGAATGTCAAACATAAGGCCAGAGAACCAGAAGCAGCCTTGTGAAGACTGCAATCTGTCTCAGGGGTGGCTTTGGTAAATATGATGGACAACATATATTTTGTACTTTTAAATGCCACATTCCAGACATTCAGACATTGTCACTCCCCAGTTAGTGCTTTCCACAAAATAACTGGAAAAACAGGATCTGTTTTGGTTCCTAGAAAGGTAGAATTATTCAGCTATCATTTGCAATACAGCATAATACTTTTTTCCCCGTTTTTTGCACTTTAAACAGATTCATGGTTAGAGCCTGATCCGTGTCTCTGTGTATGCCTTATTTTAGTGAGTCAAAAATGCACAACAGTGGCATTACAGATTAAAAAGTTTACAGGTTTGCTGTTGTTGGTGTTCAGTACTGCCATCTTGTATTGGTAACTTGGGGTATGTCGGTCTGCTTTGAAAGAGTGATGTACATTTTTTCCAGTAAATTAACAGATAATTTCTGTTTTAAGAGTGCAGGACAGTAAAGGCAATTACACATTTATTTATTTTATTCTTACAATTCGAAACTAAACATTCGTGCTAGCAGATTTTTTTGATTCACGACAGCACTATGCCTTTATTAAAAACTGAGATTTTGGATATGAGAAGTTCTGGCACAGGAAAATACATCATTACAACAAAAACAACCTGATGTTAACGTTTAAGTTCTTGGTCACTGTGTGGTTGCATTTCTAACAGCTCAGCAGCACTGAATCAGAAAAAGTGATGAAAAGCTGAAGAAGATGCTGCTATACCAAAACCAGTGAGGTAAATCTAAAATAAAAGTGACACTAAACACTAACTGTAAACTTTTGGGCTCCTGATACTTTTTAGAATTTAACAGGACACTTTGTGCACATCTAATCTCACCCGACCCTTTTGTCATTGCGGTTACATCAGGTGATGGCCTTGGACCGAGGGTTGTGAGTTTTCTGGAGTTTGGTTTCTTTTCTGCTTGAGTTTGATGTTAATGGGCCTTTAGTTTTGATTCATGTTCATGTTAGTCATTTATGCTTGGTTCATTGTGTTTTGCTATCCCTATGACTCCTGTTTTAATTTCATTCCTAAGTTGTTGGTAAATGGCCTGTATTTTGTATAGCGCTTTACTAGTCCCTAAGGACCCCGAAGCGCTTTACCCACACACACACACGGGAGGGCAAACTACATTGTAGCCACAGCCACCCTGGGGCGCACTGACAAAGGCACCACCGGGCCCTCTGACCACCACCAGTAGGCAACGGGTGAAGTGTCTTGCCCAAGGACACAACGACCGAGACTGTCCAAGCCGGGACTCGAACCGGCAACCTTCCGATTACAAGACAAACTGCCAACTCTTGAGCCACGATTGCCCCTATCTATCGCTCAGCAATAATCAGGAAGCACACCTATTGATAGTCTAAAGGCCAAAAGGTAGATGTTGTTGTGTAAACATATTCAAATACTATTTGTATAATGTAGCGTACAGAAGGTGTTATAGCAAAAGCACAAAATAAACAGAAGACTGACCCTTGTCTTAAATAGCTAAATGATAGATTGCATTATAATCTGTTTTTTTGTCTATTTAAGTCATGTAGTGTTGTAGTTGAATGGATAGCATGCATCCAATACTATTTTAAAGACTGGTCACATACTTTGACTTCGACAGTACTTTGACTGAAATCACTAAAAAGTGTTTTTTCATGCTACCTGATAAGTGAAGGGAAGAAAGAACAATATAACAGAAAAAAGTACAAGAAAGTGCAACCGTGTTTTAGATGCTTAAGAAAAGTTACTGAGTTAAGTTCTGCTACTTGAAGTTGATGCTATATTCAGTGACTAATGAGGGAGTGCGTACGAGCGTGCATCAATAATGTATAAAACACATCAATAATCTTTTGGAGGGTTAAACACGGACGCATGCGCACAAATTGTTTTGACTGCTCACTTGCACAAGAACATCTTCACACATCTTATCAACTGATTTAGAAATATGACATGTGATTTTGCCCAAAGTATCAACTTTCAGAGGCTGTAAACAACAGAGTAATGAAATACGAAGGAGACAAACTGGAAACTTGGTTCAAAAACATTTGATTTTAATGCATCGTCCTAAAACGTCCTGCTTTCATTTGTCAGATGAATCCTCTGTTCTTGATTGATTTAATATATTATAAACAGGTCCTATTGAATTGATAGTTTTTTCTTTATTCTTCTTTTTTATGTTCTGTGTAAGGTGACCTTCAGTGTTCTGAAAGTTGCTTAAGATAAAATGTGTTAATATTATTATTAAATAAATACTGCCACTTTTCACACACCTCTTAGATTTTATTAGTGTTGCAATTACATTGTACATTGTACATACATTCCAACTGCTTCTGCTAACTCTACCTCTAAAATGCCTCAGCCATCAACTAAGAACACCAAATGTTTTGCTGTTCGCTGCTGTGTGTGTCGTGCTGTGACACCCACTGAATTTGAATCAAATGTAGAGTAGAGCCATTCTTTCCTTGTTGCTAGAGGGGCTTCATTAAATGTTACCAAGGGACACCTGGGGGCAGCACTGAGAACTTTGAGGATCTAAACTATTGATCCAAGGAAGATGTTGAAGATAGGATTTATTTATAAAGCCTTTATAAATATCATTGTAAATGTGAAAAAAAAGCAAAAACATATACAACCCACATAGAAACTGGAAAACCACGGACCCGACATCTGGCTTAAATACTCTTATGAACAGGGTGAGCAGGAGACAGATCATATCTGTCTATCACATGCATTCTATTCTCTCTGTATTTATAATGAATGTTGAATTATTACTCATGTTATTGTTAAACCTATTCAAGAAGATCCTGAAATAAAACTAAAAACAAATTAGTACAATTTGTGCCCTTTAACCCTAGAACACCATTGCTATAAATAGTAACACCATCACTAACGCCAGGTGATTTTTACCTGATATAATATACCTAACAAAAAGCACTTGGCGTCAAAATATATCAAAATATGACAACACATGACAAATTAGAGTGGTCTTCTTTTATTTTCAGCTGTGCCATGCTCCAAAAACAAATGCTCCAAAATTACTGAAAAATTAGGAATTCGAGAACAAAAAATTCCTGATCAAAAAATTAATGACACTGGAAAGTTGGTCTTTGGTCCACCCATTCCTGGGACATCTGAGACTTCTCTGGTGAAAGCACAGTTTCCTCGACATGCAAACAGCTGCAGGAGAGAGAAACAAAAAAAATGCACTTTTTGGTGGGTAAAAATGAACATTTGCCTAAAATATTTTTTTTCATCATATGAATTCCCTTGGAAATAACACTTTTGTGATATGTATTCATAACCACTGCAATAAATTAGGATAACGTGCAAATTCCAGGACCACTTTTACTTCCTTAATTCCTTACATGCAGTCAATACACGCAGGGTAGTAATGGTGTGGATACACTTCCTGTCCAAGACAGTCAGCACACCTCACTAAGGGACTACTGCTTTCTGCTGCCACTGGTCCTGCCTCAGCTGCAAGAGTGCCAGGGATAGGGATGTCGTGCACGCTAAAGATCAGGACGTGAAGTTTTATACACTAACACCATCACAGAGTGAAATCCACCCAAAACCTACTTTACCCTCCACCACTATTGCTGGGTGAAAATCACCCGAACACATGTTTGTAGGAAAAAGCGGGCTTTGGGGTAGGGAAACACCAACACCTTCGAATACGTCAAAGACAATGCTGAAGCTACCCAAGGACTCATGACACTCAGACAAATGCAACATATTGAAAATCATGTAAATATATCTTCTCAGGTGAAAATCACCCGGCGATAGTGTTCTAGGGCTAAGAAAGGTTATGGAAGGAAAATGGTGGACGTTCTGTTGGTTTGTTGGTTTATATTGAGTGGTGCAGTTGTATTCAGTCATATGACATTCTACACTCAACAAAAATATAAACGCAACACCTTTGTTACTGCTCCCATTCCCCATGGGATGGACGTAGAGACCTAAAATTCATTCCAGATACACAATATAACCATCCCTCCCAAACAGTGGTCACAAATCAGTCCAAATGTGTGGTAGTGGGCACATCTGCTATATTGAGATAATCCATCCCACCTCACAGGTGTGCCACATCAGGATGCTGATCTGACATCATGAGTAGTGCACAGGTGTACCTCAGACTGCCCACAACAAAAGGCCAGCGGAAATGTTTGACTTGTCACATCTTCACTGTCTTCCTCTCTAAACCGTCTCC